TTCCCTCAGTGCTGTGGGATTATGTGAATAAGAGAAGGGAAAGGTAGTGAGGGGGAAAGTTCATAGGATCATAGGAATGTAGGGCTGGAAGGGACTTCATAAGGTCTTCTAATCTAGCCCCTTGTTCAAGGCAGGATCATCCCTGACTAAACTATCCCAGGTAAGTATCTGTTCAACCTACCCTTAAAAACCTCCAAGGATGGTGATTCATCAGTTCTCTAAATGGCTTGTTCCAATTCTTGACCATCTCATAAAGTTTTTCCTAATTTCCAACCTATATTTCCTTTGCTGCAACTTGGGGCCATTGCTCTAGTCCTGTCCCATAAGACTATATGGTAACAGTCCATCTTCATCCTCTCTGCAATTGCCCCTCATGTATTTAAAGACTCTTTTTAACACCCCCACCCCAGTCTTCTTTTCTTCAGACTGAAAAAAACCTGTCTTTCAGACCTTATTAATAAGCCTTGTCTCCCATGATCCTAATCATTTTTTGTTGTTCTGCACCAGGCCTTTTTCAGTGTCTCCACATCCTTCTTGAAGTGCAGGACCCAAACCAGACACTACTCCAGGTGAGACCAGACCAGTGCTGAATAGAATGAAAGAATCACTTCCCTTGATTTGCAAGTGATGCTCCACGATCTTTCCCAGTATTGAGGTCAGGTAATTCCCTGAATCCACCTACTTCCCTTTCTTTAATACGGGAACTGTATTTGCCCCTTTCCAGTCATCCAGGACCTCATCCAACACCCCCGGGTTCTCAAAGAGGATAACCATTCACTCTCCAGCTACCTCAGCCATTTCCTCAGTAACTTAGGGTGTATCACCTCTGGCTCTGCTGACTTGAATGTATCAAACATTCAAGGTTATTGTAAGTAATCCCTAACCTTTTATTCTATTTTTCAAGGATGTTTGTCTCCTTATCTATTTTTGCTGCCATCTTCACCCATCATCTGATAGCTGCCCCTGTTTGTGGAGACAACATGAAAAAGGCGTTAAATACTTCAGACTTTTCTGCATCATCTGACTTAATAACCTATCTCATTCCGTAAGGCACATATGGAATCTCTGGTCTTCCTCTTACTTTTGACTTCCCTATAGCATACTGTGACAGACGGCCAACTCAGGGCCAGGTCACATTATCAGCCTGCCCACCTGTCTCTGGGCTAACTGCCCACCTACTTTGCCCACCTTAAATGATACAATACAATTATGGTAACAGTGTGGAAAGCTGCCAGTTTTACTTGCCCTGGTGACAAGGGCTGATACACATGACTCCAACTATCCCTTAACATGTCCCATGCCTCACAGATGACAGCATAAACTGATGAAAGCTCCAGCCTGTGGCCGGGCCAAACTCTGCCCCTTTTAGGGCCTCTAACACCCAACACATATACTCTGCACTTCTCTGGGGCTCTTTGACACCACCCTCTCTCACAGGGCCTCTTGTACTCTGCCCACTCTCATTGGGCTCTAGCATACTGCCCCCTTCCCAAGCCACTCTCCACCTGCCTTACTCCATGCACCACCTTGTGTCCCCCTTGGGCGCTACGCTGCATGGCACTTTGGGCTTGCCTACTCACTTTCCAGCAGGGGTACACGCAGCACTTCAGGCCGTCCTCTCACAGACCCTATTCTACATGACCCATGGCTTTGTGCCTTACTCTGGGCTGAACTCAGCCACTGGCCCCTCTCATACACAGCACTTTGGGCCACCAGTGCACACCCTACTATATGTGGGCCTTCACATACTTCTGCCCCCACACTGGAGCCACTCTCTTTGCCCCCTCACTGGGGCCATCAGGGTCTTTCACCCTATGGGCTCAGGTGTCTCTCTCTCATTGTGCCTGTCCCCATGCCTGTCCCTAGCTCAGGTTAATCCATCAGGTTGTGGGGGATGGGGTTTAAGGTGCCCCTCCTCACCTTTCACTGGAGAGGCAACTGGCCTGGCATTTCTGGGGAACTGCACCACCACAAGCAGTCCCACCAGGCCATCCTTCCCCAGCAGGCTGCAGTTTCAAGTCATACTCAGGACCAGAAGCCTCCTACCATTCCCACAGCTCCTGCCTTTACCTCCAAGGATGTTCTAAGCAGCAGCTCATCCAGGTGTTGCTCTTTCGGCTGCTAGCAGCAGACTGCTGCCCCAGCTCTGAGGGTCTGGATTAAAATGGAGGTTGCTCTGCCTGCTCCTATAATCCCAGGGCCCTCCTGGGGTCATATGACTGCCTGATTAAGGCTAGCCTGCTCTCAAGCCCTAAGTGGCAGGCACCGAAGGTACTCTGCCACAAATACCTTTTAATTGATTTTTATGTCTTTTACCCACTGTATCACAAACTGTGCCTTGGTCTTCCTAATTTTCTCCCTGCGTGCCTCTGCAATACTCTTATGCTCTTCCCTAGTGCTATGAGCATGTTTTCACTTTTTATAGAATTCCTTTTTGAGTTTCAGCTCCTTGAAGAGATTGACTAGCCAGGCTGGTCTTCTGGTGCACTTCCCATTCTTATGTTGCATCAGGATGGTTTTCTCCTGTGTCATTAAAAATGTCTCCTTAAGTACAGCCAGCTCTTCTGGATTCCTTTCCCCCTCAGACTTGTATGCTCCAGGTGATTCTGCCCACCAGTCCCCTGAATGTTTTAAAGTCTGATTTTTTGTACTTCTTCTGGTGCTCTCCTTCTTTTCTTCCCTTAGGATCTTTGAAATTTATCATTTTGTGTTCACTGTCACTTATGTTACCTTTCACTTTCACATTCTCAACTAATTCCTTCCTGCTTATAAGCAGTCACTCAAGAAGAGCTCCTCACCCAGCTGGCCTCTCTATTATAAGTATCAACACACTCCAATAATTTGTTATACTGCTTATGCACGGCCTTGTTTCACTCCCAAGAGATGTGCTGGCAAATAAAGCCCTCCATGAGAATCAGGTCCTATGATTTGGAAATGCCCATTAGTTGTTTAAAGGCTGCGTCATCCACCTCTTCTTCCTGGTTTGGTGGCCTGTAGCAGCTGCCCACCATAACATTCCCCCCTGCTGCTCTCTCTTCTGACCTTTACTCAGAGGTTTTCAACAGGCCTATTATCCATTTTGTACAGCACCTCAAAACACATGTACATTGCATGTATATATAAGGCACTACCTCCTCCCTTTTTCCCATTTATCCTTCCTGAGCAAGTTATACCCACCCATAACCATACTTCAGCCATGTGAACTATCCCACCACATCTCTAAATTCTAATTATATCATAATTCTGTGCTTGTACTAGAGCCTCCAGCTCTTCTTGTTTGTTTGTCTTACTTTTGCCATTTGTATATAATGTCGTGGAAACACACGCAGCATATTTTTGGGTCAGGTCAGCAGAAGCTTTTATTTAAAAGAAACTATAGCTGTAGGGGGGGATTTTAAAGTGACATGGACTTTTTAAGCACTTGGAAGGGGTCCCCCACCCCAAGAGCAAAATCAGGAG